TAGTACATAGTGACCATTCACGTTTTGAACCAGGAAGAGAGTGACCGGGCGATTTGAGGAAATGAGATTTATTAGCCACAAAGTCATGGTCTCATTTGAGTTGTTTACTGAGATCCATTAGTCTGTTACTCGAGATTTCAATGCTATGCTCACTGCCAACTTCGTAAACATTCAGTTCTATTTGATAGTGTTTTGAATCAACTGGTCGGTCACAAATCAACCAGTATATTCATGCTTAGAAAACACTGTGAATCCGGTTCAATACCATCTCACTTCTCAACTTGACAATAACTACCACTCATTTCATCTTGATTGTGATGATTGGCGTTTGACCCGATTATTTGAAAAGTGACCATCATAATGCCATTTGATGAATTGTTTTGTTCGATTTAAAAATGTGTATAGATGCGAGTGTTATGTTGTGACTGATTTCAGACTACTCATCATATAGTTAATTACGATAATTTAATAGTGTTGATGGTTGTGATGACGTGTTTGTTGTACGATGGAATGAAGTGAGAAGTGGTTATCACCTTGTTTGTACATTTCCTTGTAGACAGTTTTTCACTTTGAGTATTTCACAGTGCTCTGAATTGATACATGATATGGATTGTTGTATGTAACTTGTGTATTCATTTTTCTGTCTTATTGATCTGTTAACTTCCAACTTTATTTCTACTGATCGTTCTCTATCCTGTTTTATATACTATGTATTTGTAAAATGTTTCTATTTAGTTGAATAAAGAATTCAAAGTACTTGTTTTTAAGTATTGTTTCATTTGTTCACATGTATAGAAAACTTCGGATAGAATATCGTAATTTGAAAGTTATTGGTGTATTCGCATTACTTATCTCGAAAACCCAGAAATGAATGGATTGCCTGAGAACTCGGATTTCAATATTACTGATTGTGTGCTTGATTAATTAAGTTACCCGACTTCTACAGTAATGGTAAACATAATTCGGTTGTTAAAGGAATGAATGGACATCAGACTGAAGCAGAGTAAGATCATTCTGGATTAGCATTGGAATTATAAGAACACTGGAGCTAGAATGTCTACCAATTGTATTACAATTTAGATGTTTTGGAATTGCAGTAAAATGAGATAAAACCAGCATTGGATTAGACAGGTCCAATAGGAATTGTGTACAAAAGTGCCGATTACTCAGAGTGTTTCGAATCTTAATAGGTTAGAGGAATAAGAGAACAAGAATAATAGGTAGACAGATAAGCAAACAAAAGTGTACTGTATATATATTAGTCACAAAACTTGGCCAATAGAACCGATATGATAATTAGAAGTATTTGAATTATAGTATGAACTAAGAATCCCAGAAATAACGTAATCGGATCAAGCAGTACTAGATAACCACAAACGAATGTACTGTAATTGGAATTCGAAATCAAGCATGCAACAAGTACAAAGGAATCATTAGTTCATTCAAACACCACAACCGAACTAATATATTTGACAGTCGTATGCTTCGTCAGATCTTGTATTCCAGAATAAATAATCATCTATGCGAACTTGATATGTCCATATTGACTACCACTTTTATTCAAATATTTCGTTCATTGAAGTATGGGGAAATTTGAAACCGTATATACAGATTACGAATAATTATGCGAGAATGTTATTTGGAAGTAATAGTCGGTTTGGTGATACTTGTTTCCATGTTATGCTTTTAGTGAGTAACACTCGTCAACCGTGAGCACATTGACATTATGCAAGTTTTGAAAGACTTTTATTCGTCCACTTCTCATGTATTCTACATTCGTTTGCATCTCCTCAATAACATGTATAATTGTTATTCTTCGGTTCGTCATACCTTCTAACTTGGTGACAATTTTAATATTCTCAACTAAGTTTGTTATCTCTTTGTACTGATGTGATTTATTCATCTGTCTTTATGTACATATTAGTTAGAAACACCTTCAGAATACTTTCGCGAATTACAAATGTTAATTAGAAAATCTCTACCAAATCCCTCTAATACATGACACTTGACGGTAGCATTTAGAAAATAATTAGCTTTAAGAAAAATATTGCGATTAAGTGTTAGGATTTTCTGGTTACTGTTTACAGTCTAGATCTAAATGCCATGACAGAATCAACTAGTTAATGTTAACAACTAGTCAAGCCATTGATTGTTATAAAGAGTATAAGTATCTAATAGAACTTATACGAAGTTAAGCCTTCACTTGTTTGTGATGGTATGCTAGACTATTGACCATGTCGTAAATAATAGAGCTATAAAAGAAATCTAGATTAATTTAAATTAGCAAATGCTGTGTCCGTGGAATACTTAACTAACTTGGTACTTAGTACTGAAAATCGCGTATTGAATGGCGCAAGTAAGAACACGATGACAATAGATGAGGGTTTATTTGATATGCAAAATAAAACCGATACTTGAATGCACCACAATTTATGTGATTTATGTACAATCAGATTTATACAACATCAACTAAGTGGTCATTAATATCAATCAATCGATAGTTTACACAATCATTATAGATATACAATATCATAGAATTAACTGTCGATGACCAACAGATAAAACTAATATTATTACTGCTGAAAACGTGATTGCTCACCATATCCGTAAAGATCTCAAGGATTTTAAGTGAATGGTTCAAATGTTTCGTTTGCCTGACTGGCCTCATCATCTTCAGGAAAATAGTTGGTGGAGATAACTTCGATCTAAAAACTCTGCACTAGTACAGCATACTTGGTGGAACTCGGATCAGTCTTTCAGATGATACATTGGAACCATTCATGTTCAGTGGCTAAGATCTCTATACACATAAGGTTATGCTAAATGTCCTGATATAAATGGATGTCCAATGCGTGTGAAACTGTTCGTCCAAATCTTGATAGTTTCGTAAAAGATCGAATGTGAATATATATTTTTGACTGACGATTTTTCGTCTGTAAGATAATAATGATAATATCAAGAAGGAAATAACTTGAGGTCCGTGCTCCAGAGAAATATGGGGAATGAAAACAAAAATAGTTGAAACAGACAATTTCGGAAGGTGATTATCAAGTGAGTGTTCACTTTTAAAATAGATATAAAACAGAATAGTGAGTAGGAATTGGTTTATATTGTCATTAGAACAGATGTTGTCTACAAAACGTTGTGGCGAACAGACTGTTCTTCAAGGCTTCATACCTCTTTCTATACTGACTGGTTAAAACTTCCCTTTGCATTTATTCCCAAATATCCTAACTACATTCAGCTTGCTGCTTTGAACGACTTATTTCGATATATCCATGCCTCTAAGTACGTTTTCTAACGGTAATTCAATCCGTTCCCATATCGAACTGAAGGGAATATCGCAAAAGGTCTGAACTGATTTGGAGATATTATAACATTGTACAGGTAGGTGAGGGAACTATGTAGCACCGAAAATTATATGAACTTGATGCATCTCCAGATTCCTTATACGACTGTTTTGATATTGCAAATAGTCATGTGATATGAAGCTTTTACTGCTAGATAGAAATATTCCTACCATGAAACATCAGAATATACCTGTAAAATAACTTCACTGCATAGTAACCGAGGGTCAATTTAACAGTCGATCGGGTTACAATAACGAGTGGTAGTGTAAGCAGTAATTCTGGATAACTTATTCTAACACATGGAATCGGTGTAACACTGAGTACTTCCCAGTTAATCAGAAAACTACACGAACTACCATTTATCAGGATTCATTGTTACCCTATGCTTGTACAGTCACATCGGTGAAAACTAATCTTATTGACACTTATCCACTTATTTCGTTAAGTGACTTGTACATATCTTTGTGTTTTCAACTTGTTTAATCCTTCACTTCTATCACTCCAGGAAACTGCCTAACTTAATAATTTATTTATTTATTTGAACACATGAACAATGCAAGATGTATTTGATAATCGTCAAAATGATTAAGCCAAATTCATTGTAAGAAGATTAAATGGTTGTGAAATAGACTGGAGGCTTCACTATCAGTGCACGAAGCTCCTTAAATTTGTGTGACTGAATATGTTCTACAATCAAATACCGCGATTCGCAACAATCAGGTTAACACGAAACAAAATTCCATATGTTATACTTGGTTTGAAAAGTAGATTTACAACGTAAAAACTTGCAAAATGTTGGTAGGTTAATTAAACATAAAGGTTTTAGAATTTTGCACACATATTCAACATTCCGTAGTTAACTAATGTAGTACTTGCCTATACTTTTTCTCTTCCTTTAGTCAGCACATAAAACCAAAGTTTGTTTAAACATATATACCCTTTAAATCGTACTGTGGAGGCAGAATACTTTTATCCATCAACGATTTGTAAACGAGTAACGATTGATGGTATTCTCACTCACATCGTTCTATTTCGAAGACTCATATATTATTATCACAGTGATGAGATTTCATACATGTGTTGCTATTACACTTACTGAGCAGCCATGTATTTCACGCAACGGAGAACTACTCAAATTCGTCTTCGCAGTTTATTTTGATATCAACTTAATATTAACTACCATTTCTAAACAAATTTCAACTATGTTTACTTCATAGGATAATTATACTTTCAACTCGTATCTTTTGACTCATATAAAAATCACTACATAAGTTGGAATAATCACCAATGTTTTTAAAAATATGTTCTTTACAAAATAATTGAATTTCATCTACGAGTGGTACTTATGATTTACAGTGAAACTTTTTTAATAAGTTGTTTTCAATAGAAAATTTGTTCACGTAAAATATATCCATAAAAAATATCACAAGTATTTCGTGCAAACATCAGGTTTTTGAGTTTAAATAGAGAGTTGTGGACCATAAACCACAGTAAACAGATGATATAACCATATTGGAATCCAATTGTTGATTTGTTAAGAGTGGGTGTTTCACTGGCGAATCAACAGCTTCCATAGATGAGTCAAATCCCAACTGACCAAATTTATTGCATCCAAAACAAAACAGGATGCCATCTTCTGTCAGACAGGCTGTGTGACAACCACCGCAGGCAATCTAGCACAAAGTATTAAAAATAAAGACGTAGTAACCATCGAAAACAGACTCGAATCTAGTTATAAAATACCATACATTGTACGCAAAACATCTGACCTACTTCCCATTATGAAACATGGGTTCAGGCTTTTGTTATCCTTATCACAACTAAAGCATCTGTCATCACACTATCAGTCTGTACTTTTAATTATCATGTTTATTTAGGTAATCTATTACGCTGTTATCACTGACTGATAAACTGCTTTGGCTGGTGGCCGATTAATGGAAAGTGGTTGCACAAACCTGTTTTGAATGCAATGATTATGTATGCGAACATGGATCCCGATAATTCCAGCTATATGCAAACTCTCAAACCATATGGTAAATTCGATGGAATATTGTGGACAAACTTAGATGCTTTATTCAAGCCAACTTGATGCCCTGTGTCCATCAAGTGATCGAGAATCGAACTGTTAGTCACTCTTACCTGTCTCTTGCTTAACCATAACTGAATAGTGTTCTGATATGCGATGACGAATTTGCCGAATTATTCACTTGATATAACTGGCTCCATAGGAGGAGTTGGACTGGCAAGTACACATGAATGTGGAGAATTCAGTCTGCCTTCATTGATGACCTTCATCATCACGTTCAGTTTGGCTAGTGATTGTTTCCGACCCGCATTTCTTAACCCTCTAGTTACAATTTCCTTGGTAGAATCATTTACGGACAGTACTTTCTTCAAAACGGTAGGAACATTCGGTCTTCTTTACATTTCATTTATGTTTGTTGATGAATCTGTTGCACACTCATTCCTATTAAGCAGGTTACAAACATTACTCAATTCATCTGCAATGGTGCCATCAAAACAAATCATTCTGGAGCCATGAGTCAAAATCTTTACTAAGTTTCTTTTATATCCGAATGGTACAGCTTTATAACGATGACAGAATATTTTCAAACTGAGGACTTTCTATGAATCCCTCTTTTTAGTATTCCACCTACCCTTGTTATTGGTTGGAAGTCTAGAAATAATATGGTGTTGGTCTGTTCTTCCTCAAGTGCAAAATTAATAGATGGGTGAATGTTATTAAATATACTAATTGAATTATCTAACTTAATTTTGTTATCCCAATTGAAATATTTATTATTATTTTATTCTACCAAAATAGACCTATCATACCTTTGAACTTTAAATGCTCTCGCGTTTATTTTTTTAAAGATATGTCTTTTCATAACTCTATGACTGTTATGACATTGAATGTCTGACTTTTCGATCACACGACTTATCTACCAATCCGAATACGACTTATACGAATCTTCACACTAGGCCAACCAATGACGTCCAACCGGTGTGGGCAGTTTAGCGTCCTTATTGGTCCTATGTCCTACGAGCCCTTCCACTTGAGTCCAGAACAAGATACCAGCTTCCGAATCAGAGCAGATCGTTTATTTCAGGCATACTTGGTTTATATATCAATCACACAGACCACAACGTACCATAAAATAGGAAATAATATTTGTCCACAAATAAGCCCAAAAAGTGGCTGTGAATGTGGGAGGCAGTAGTTAATAAACTGAACATAACTTAAGAACCGTAAATCGTACAATAATAAGTTATAGGTCAAAATAAAGCTTATCATAAAAGGAATATAAATATCCATAGTGTAATTGTTGAGTAGTTATACAATAAGAATGTTTATAGAATATTAGTCCATGAATAGTCCTTGGACTTTACCTGTAATTTAATCTTCACCGGATATAACAATGACCTAGCCAATGTTTGTAATTATATAATTTGTACTTTAACAATAATTTCATCCAAGCTTCTTTAAATAGGTCATGTTTCGTACTTTCCCCGAGTTTCTTTTTCAAACAATTTATTGATTTTAGTAGTTCATGTGTCATTTTTTACTTGAAAGGATAAGTATGTCGCTGAACGAAATAAATAATTCTACATTACTTACAACCAACTTTCCTAGCTATATTCTGATTACTTAAGCTACTGTTGCAAATCAACAAATTCAATTTGAATTGTTCATGTTAATTAGATATTAATAGGCATATTAGGAATCAGTTTTGTAAACCATAATATGATAAATGAAAAACAGGAACTAATATAAGTTTCACTTACTAGTGTCACATTAATCTCACGACAAATATAAGTGAAGAAGAATCTGTTAGCATGTAGTCTACATTTTCCTCATTGGCTGACGATTTGTTAACTGATAAATAAGTCATACCATCTTGGTAAGACCTCCTGAATATGACAGATTTACAGCCGTAATAATATCTTGACTCAATAGGTTTATGATTGATTCTTCTGAAAATGTATTTATTAAGTAATTAACAGCTTTGTAACTTCAGTGAGCTATTATAAAATATGGAAACAGTATTAAGATCTTTCGGTCACTGAGAAATATGCAAACTATTTAGTCACTTTTAAATTTGGAGAGATTCGAATACATAAGGAAATTAATTGCAACCACTGGTGCTCCCCAAATGGTTTGTCCTTTAAACATGAACAAGTGATTTGTTTTGAGTTGATTGGTTGAAATTAGAGATGTACCCTGATGGACTCCAGTTTAATTATCTAAATGTAACATGCTTTGTGAGAGACCTACAAGTTTTCAACTCAACATCGTATGATGTGCACAATTTTGAGATATTTAAGACTAAGAAACAGTTGACGAATACTACTGAGATATTAACCGTTCTCTAAATTATCCCAACTTAGGATCAAATGTGACTGATTTTTGATGGATTGGATGATAATAAGAAAGACAACATTTTGTATTGACTTTTATGGATAAACATTCAAAACATCATTCAATAACAAATCATTGAAAAAAACGTTTTGTCTAAGTTTGATGAGTACAAACGAAAGTCTACAAAATTCATATACTAAAATTGTAAAGTATATTAAGATACAACGTAATCAGGACAAACAAAATAATAAATATAAGTAGGTGAAAAAGGCTAAAACAATTACTAATATATCACATCACGACTTTCTAAACTTTGTGTATTATGTAATACGTGCATTTATGTGCAGCATGATCTTTGTATAATTAATTATCTTTTTTAGGATTCAACAAACGTGCTCTAGCAAAATCTCGAGCCAATCTAGCATCTCGTACAGTAACCGGTGTATCAGATATTAAAAAATGTATACATAAAGCAATGAATATAAGGCAATGTTCAAATATTAGAAATATAGTGCTTGCAGTCACATCAGTTAAAATTTCTAATCGATGAATTTCTGATATTAATAAACCAGCATTAGTTAATACAGATAACCAAGCTTGTATACCTAATAGCAATAACCATATAGATTGTTCTCTAAGTAATAAATTTGATTTAGGACATTGTGTTACCCAAAATAATTTGAATACATCAAAATGTATTTCAAGAAATGTACATAATATAGCTAAAATTGTAATAAATAATGGTGATGCATAAGCAAATAATACAAGATAACCATGTTGTAAAACCATTTCTAAATAATCATCAAATGATTCATAAATATCTGCGCATAATTCACGTTCAACACGTATTTGATACATAGGTTTTTCACTATTGTGGTTACGTTTAATTAAACCAATTGATTGTTTTTCTTTCCATGCACGAAATCGATAAATTATGTATGGTATAATACATTCAAGTGTTAAGCGTCTTATTGAATCAGTAGCAAACATTGTTAATAAAAGTGAACGTAATGCCAAACGATCAGCTAATATAAAGCCTAAATAAATTAAACCACCATATGCATCAACCAATTCAAATAAGAAACGTTTTATAATCAATGCACGTTCATAATCCTTATTTGTCTGAAAACAAAGGGAGAAAAAAAACGTAAACAGATTAATAAATAATTAATATACTTTAATATCTTAATGAGTAGAAAAACTAGATTTTCTGACATTTCGTGACTTAGTGTAAGCCACTTTCTTCAGAGAATAAATAACCAAATTAAAATTAATCCAAATTTAGATAGTACAACGGAACCAATTTATTCGAAATTATCAAATCAAACCTTGGTAATGATACCTGTTATATCAGAGCGAAGATTAAATCACAAGTAACTTCTGAGACATATTAATTGACTAATATTTTCTATATATTCTTATGGTGTAACTATTCAATAATTAGATTATGTATATTTATATTCCTCTTATTATAAGCTTTATTTTGACCTATAATTTATTATTGTACGATTTACTGGCCCTAAATTATGCCTAGTTTATTGACCACTGTCTCCCACGTTCACAGCCACATTTGGCCAAATATTGTACAAATGTTATTTTTTATTTTATGGTACGTTGTGGTCTGTCTGATTGGTATATAAATCGAGTATTTCTGAAATAAATGATTCGTATTTCAGAGGCTGGTATTGTGTTTTGGACTCAAGCGGACGGGCTAGTAGGACCATAGGACCAATAAGGACGCTAGACTGCTCAACCGGTTGAACGTCATTGGTTTTGTCATAGTGCAAAGATTTGTATAAGTCGCATTTTGATTGGTGGATAAATCACGTGATAAAAGCCGGACATAAAATCATAATAATACCTGTAAACAGATTAATATAATATTACTTATTTAAAAATAATTATTACATATTGAACATTTAATTTATAATTTTTGTGATAAATATAAATAAATTTAATTCTTTTTTATTGTGCCAACTATTTAATTATTAGTAACATGTTGTTTGATTGATATTATTTCGAAAATTAGTGATTTCTAATTATAAAATCTGATTGGTAGAAATTTCACTTACAATCTAAGATTAATGTGAAATTATAATATTGGGAAGAATTAGACTATAGAAACTTATATAATCAGGAAGAAAAATTTTTTTAAAGAAAGCAAAAATAGTATTCATTAAATAATATAGTCTAAGATGGGAAACAAGACCAATTTCACTCGGTTAGAAAAATTATCTCATTACTTAAGGTATGAAACAAAAGATAAATTGTTGGAAAATACCCATTTGTTACTCTGTTGAACAATGTTCAGAAAATTTGTAAACAAATCAGCTGTACGATCATAAAAATCCCATCAAATGGGACCTAGTTAATCAACAGATGTCAATCTAACACTAAATTTTTATTTCAAGTTGAAATGTTGTAAACTGACCTTTCCCATTTTTCGCAGTCGATCGGAGTCGTCAAACAATGTACAATTTAAAGGACTTGCGTCAAAAATAATTCATTAAAGATTACGTATCAAGATTGCAACGCATAGAGAACTATCAACCGCTGTGTACTAATACACGTTCCTAGACCTCATCCTTATCTGGAACACGGCCACCAAAAACATCTAACAAGGTATACGAATCTCTGAACTAGTTCCAACGTCTAATTACAAAGGGTGAGTAATGAATAGGCGCCAATCTTACAGAAGTAATTTGCATTCTTATTATGCAAACCAAATATTATACATCCAGGAGCTCATCGCCAATTTTAAAAATGAGAGTGACAACCGCTTTCTAGAAGGATGAAAAAACACTGACTTTATCAGATCTCTCCAAACAGTTCAGTAACGTCCTAAATTTCTAGTCTTTGATTAGAGCTGGAATTTGGTTTCCTGGTTAACGAAACTCTGTAGGAAATTCTATTAGATAACCGCTTCTTTAGGCTCATCATTAATCATCTGTGAATAAGAACAAAATAATCTATCTAACGTTGGTGCAGCCCTAAAATGTTTCTTAAAGTTCTCCACCCAATTTTTGAGACATTTTTGAAAATTCCTTATAGCTATGCCACTAACCCTATATATCGTTTAACCGACAATACGGCTCTGGTTACTAGTGATACTTTTCAAAGGCTACTAAATCAACAAACTCCTTCAAATAGGAAGTATGTTGAGTCCTCCAAGCTTCACCGTCTTTTATGCTCGCAATTAACCGGAGTAGGTTGAAGGGTCCCGAAACGTTATACAGACCCTATTTAACTTGATATGGCATCTTGTATATATAACTAATATTCATCTGCGCTTTTCAACGAATCGACAGTTAATTCTCTGTAATGATCTCCAGTCCAGAGGGCTCGTAGACACCATTAAATTTGAAATGGTGACTCATTATGTTAGAGTACTTTAGTCTTGACCACTGAATAACAAAATTAAAATTAAATTAACTAATTGGATCTACATGCAGATTTGTTTGTTTCCACAGAGTTATATGAGACTTAAAATTTTAGACATATAAAAAACATATCATTATTTAATCTGTAGACCTCATGATATTTATTCTATAAAAATGAAAATAACTAACACAATGATTTTCCCATTCGGTTAGATGTTCAGCAATAGCACGAAAAATTATTTGATTCATAACGAAAACCATTAAAGAATGTAAAACCCCAGGAATATACGATAATATTCCATTGGCGTTCGGATCAAATATTGCATCAGGTTCAGCGAACTGACTTACGAATCCTATATGAAACCATGGCGACTTTTCTGCTACGATAAAACCCTGTGAGAAAAGAAGTGAGATGAAGATAATGTCAACAACAGCTAAGAGAGAAGCGAATGACACATGGATGTATGATAGTGTAGAAAAATTTCCATGAGTTCAACATCATACAGAGTGTATTAGAATGTTTATCTTTTGCTATAGAAATAAAGCTAACGCAATTAAACTAACTTAATTCAGTGTCAAAATGTGCCGATTTATGGCGTTAGACACAATTAGGCAGTACAATAACAAAAAATCTAAGCGATAATATGGAAGTGAGAAGGTAAAAGATAAAAAAAGGACAGCAAAATACGAAAAATGACCTATAATCCGACATTTTTGTTATCTTTAAGAAACTAGTCAACTATGTTTTATTCAACCGTAATTAGCTATACCATTTTGTGAAAAGTTCTAACTTGTGCAAACAAAGGTTTCGAATACTATGCTAATACTGTGTCGAAAGTATCAATCATTTTATTTCTTTTAGATTCACAATCGTGATAACAGAACACTCCTATTGTATGGAAGCAACTTTATCACTGAAGACGATAAAACGCACATACCAAGTATGAGTTGTATAATTTTTTAGGGCTAGTGGCAACAACAGGATTTCCAAACCTAAGTAGGTGGAGTGAGGTTCAAACCTCAGATTTATTGCATTGAAATCTAAATGCTTTAAACATTAAATCACCGTTGAACCCCCGAGATCTTAGCTATCCATACGAATAAGTTTAAGGAAAACAGTACACGTAGACCTTCCTATTGAGAAAACACCTGAACCTGACAACGTACCACCTAAAGCACTGAAGCCATATATGGAAGTAACTGTAAAGATGTTCCATTCGGGGAGATTCGGGAAAAAAGAACAAGTGGCGAGAGATTGGAGAGAAGGACACCTCATTAGGTTACCAGAGAAAGGAGATCTCAGCAACTGCGACAATTACAGTGAAATCACACAACTATCGGTACCAAGAAAAGTATTCAACGAAGTGTTGCTGAACCAGATGAAAGATTCAGTCGACGCCCAACTTCGAGATCAACAGGCCGGATTCCACAAGGACCGCTCAAGCACAGATCAAATCGAGACACCACGGATCATCATTGAACAATCAACTGAATGGAACTCGTCACTATACATCAGCTTCCTTGACTATGGGACAGCATTCGACAGTGTGGATAGGAAAACATTATGGGAACATTTTCGACATTATGGCGTACCTGAGATCGTCAACATCATCCAGAATTTAAAGACGGTCTACACTGCGAAGTCGTGCATAGATGACAGTTGACAGATGCATTTCAAGTGCGGACCGGAGTCAGACAAGGTTGCCTACTCTCTCCCTCTCTTCCTTCTGGTGGTTAATTGGATTATGACGACCTCCACATCTCAGGGAAAGTACGGAATACAATGTACAGCTTGGATTCAACTAGACGATTCAAACTTTACAGATGACTTATTGCTTCTATACCATACACACGAACAAATGCAGATGAAGACAGTCAGCTTAGCAGCAGCCTCTGCAGCATCAGGCCTCAGCATACACAGAGGAAAAAGCATAATCCTGAAATACAACACAGAGAGGACTAACACAATCACACTTGATGGAGAAATTCTATAAGAGGTGGAAAGTCTCACACATCTAGGCAGCAGCATCAATAAACAAGGAGGATCGGATGCAGACATTAAGGCGAGGATTGGCAAAGCGAGGATAGCATTCCTACAGTTGAACAATATATACAACTCAAAACAACTGTCAACCAATATCAAAGTCAGAATCTTCAATACGAGCGTCGAGACAATTCTACTGTACGGAGCTGAGACGTGGAGAACTACCACAATCATCATCTAAAAGGTTCAAGTATTTCTAAACAATTGTCTACGCAAGATACTCAATATCCGTTGGCCGGATATCACCAGCAACAGCCAACTGTGGGAGAGAACAAACCAGCTTCCAGCTGAATAGGAAATTAGGAAAAGACGTTAGAGGTGAATAGGACACACATTAAGGTAATCACCAACTTGGAATCCTGAAGGGAAATGGAAAAAAGAAAGGCCAGAAGAAAACGCTATGCCGAGAATCGGAGGCAGACATCAAAAGAATGAGTAGCAACGTGAAACAAATCGGAGAGGATTGCCCAATACGGAGTTCGATGGACAATGCTGGTGGGAGGCTCGTGCACCTCCACAACGGGTAGTAGGAGTAAGTCAGTTTAAGGAACAATCATTTCTACTAATTTATATCTATGTCGAAACTAATACGCACCTAGTCTTCTTTCTAAACCTCTTCTACATTTTAATTAATTATTAAAAGTATTGAGACATACCATAAATATTTCTCCAGTATTGTGAATACATATAGCAAACTAATGCTTTAGATACGTTCATAAGTTACGATTGACCTAAATAAATTGAAAAATTCTTGCATATTTAAAAGTAGGTTCTTATCAAAGAATGATATTTTTTAAATTAAACATTGAAAATTGTGGATAATTAAGAAAAAGAGGTTCAGTCTTATTCTTGGCATCTAAAACAATAAACATACGTGATCCGATTTGAAAATTGAATCACTGTGAATTTAATTTTCTGTTACTGATATTCTAGGGTTTGAATTAGTGTAAAGTAAATTTTAACAAAACTCATAATATAATTTGACTTACTCTCCAATATTATGTAATGCTATTATTTTTTTTCGTAGGACACTAAATTAGTTAAATAAACCATAATATTTTGTATTAGGAATTATCATAACTCTTTTAGATAGATGACTAAAGAAAAAATTTAATGAATAGTTAAGTAACGTGAATAACTATTTGTTCTTTCATTTTAATTTGCTTACTATTGATTTGTGATGATATTTTGATTATTTTCACTTCTTTTTAGTGTACAATATTTACTGTTTGTGTTACAATACAATACTAAAGGTTTTAAGATGTAAGTATTATTTACATAAAATTTCATGCATATAATATTACTATCAAAATATGCTTGAAATTAGTAAAACTATCAAAATATAATAAATACTATATTATATACTAAAAGTTTAGGATTATTTCTCGACTATTATAGTGGTCTAGTGATTAAGCGCTCATGCGTGAGACTGATAGGTCCTAGGTTCGAATCTCGCGAGGCGGGGTCGTGGATGCGCGCTGCTGAGGAGTCTCACAATAAGACAAGATGGTCGTTCAGTGTTTTCAGGTTTTCCATAGTGGTCTAGCTTCAACTGACTAATCATCGCAACTATTGAAATTATTACATAAGCAGTTAACCATATAATTTACATAAATAAAAAGATAAATCTAATAATGACTGAAATGAATGAATATAATGAACATAAATTAATCATTAAAAGACAATATTCTTCTGATATGATGATGAAAGTAATGAAAAACCAAAACACAATGTACATTTTAATACAGACAAAGCTAAGAATGCTAAAGGATGTCTTAGAGTACAATTAAGTTCATTGTCTGGTCAATGTCTTTTCTGATATCAAGTGTGAGCTAAAGTACGATAAAGGTCACAAAAATTTAGTGATTACGTTAAGAAACGATACAAAATGATGATATATTTGATTGTCTAAACTATATAATATCATAGGTTTACTTAGTGGAAGTTCTCGGGGTAGGAAAATGTCATTATAACCAGTTCGTGTTCAACAATATGCAATAGCCTTTACTGCTGACTGATATCTATATAGCAACTTGCAATGTTGCTCAACTTTCCTGTATACTTCGACTCTGAATCTGACAGAAAACATCGGTTTTCTCAAGAATGGAAACACACCTTTGTAATGAATGTTAATTAAGACGAAACATGTATTCAAGCACTCCTCAAGATTGTTTCTAAACACTAAATACTCAATTTTATTTATTATCTGTCAAATAATTTATGTTAATATCTTATTCTCTCAGTTTGAGCTTTACAATTTTGAAATAATCCACCGCTATGTGAGATTATTTGTTTCAGCCAACTGATCAAAAGACTTTATATAAGTAGATACAAGCTTACAGGAATATTTGATCATGAGCAGTAGGAATAATCCTAGCAATTGCTGAAAAAGCAGTAAAGTTATTGGTACAATAAAATGTTGAGATAATTGCCGAACTGGTGAATGTAATGCTGAGATAGCCGGACATATAAACTTTGATCAAATAAAACATCATGTTTTAAAATGATGAAGTTATCGTAATAAAACAAAGCAAAACATAGAAGATGCAAATAAAATAGTATGACTGTGAATTACTTATTAGATTAACAATATATAGTGAATAATGAAAACAGTCGTCAAACAATAGTCGATTCAAACCATACAATAATCATATATTTCAAAAAGTTAGTCAGTTAACGAGGACTCACAAATAGTTTTCGTCTTTTTACCTAATACCCTACGTCCTTATCCTCAGCAACACTCATTTGATTGTTCTTTCATGTGTTAACAGTTTTGAAGACATCTATAATCAAATACTACTAACCTATTTATCTCCTCTACATTGGAAAATAATGCTTCACAGCTATAAGATAAAGCACACCGAAAGGTTGGGCAGACTACTTTCCTTTTAATAGGTAGAGGGTTCTTTCGTATGTTATTATGAAACTACGCTAAACTGAGCAGTTTGATCATACTGTGATACTGACAGTGTAACTACTAAAAATAGTGCCTAAAAGCTTATCCAAGAAATAGGACCGTTTCATTGCGTATTAAAACAAATAAATCTTTTAAACAGATCAACTTGAAAAAATATTAGTATGTAGAATTACGAAGAAGTACGGTATCTTCGTGAACTTTAAGCATGAATGTTGAGTACTTCAAAAGAAGATTGACTGGACGAGAAGAATTGAGAATTAATTCACTTTACCAAAAACATTCGGAGATACTAAATTTCAAAAGATTAAAAAGGCGCCTATCCAATGAATTCTATTAGAAAGTTTGAACAGGCTACAACTCTTCAGTTGACTGTCGACTATACAATTTGTGAAATATGTTAATAATATATTCGTGTTTAACACTAAAACTTTAGAAATGAATCAAGATATTTATTATTGATGTGGTAGTGAATGTATGATTGGTTGGTGAGCATGGACGAACAGGCACTTAGCTTACTGATTATTAAATATGTGATTTCCTGCTATTGATTTCTACTAAGGACTCAATAAGTTTGACTGCTTGTAACTGTGTTGAATAGATTATTAACTAGTATTTATCTGGTTTTCTACTCTGAGTTGTGAATCTTATACCTGGCATAACGTGACTAGTCTCATAATCATATAACGTATTATCATAGTATACCTAAGAGAGAAAAATATTTTAAACTATCCGTGATTTTAATTATATGTATAGGTTTGTATTTTGTTGTTGTTGATATTGACTACAATTGATTAATTTTGTATTAGGGTATGTAAATCTTGAAAGGATTGTGTCTTGGGTTCGATTGATAGCAAAAATTCAGCTATACTAAATCTATTATATTAAGAAAGAAACTATAGTGACACTGTATAGGTTATTATTGAAATATAGGCAGCATATCCCATCCCAATTTTCATTCGTTAAATGTATATCAATTACAATGTGGCACATTGCTCCCACTTGATCTATCAACCAATGGTTATTGTTTCAAATGCCAGAACAGTTCCATGTTAAAAATTTGAGCTTTCTTTTTTTTAAATCTCAATTTTCATAAACTAAATGATCTTCAATTACTTAACATTAAGTATATAAATGACAGCTGTAATTGGCTGATAATACATCCATTGACTTGAAAAAGGTTTCGTCTTCTGGAATCTATTTATCTAGGATGTGGGCAAATTAAAGATCCACCATATAGGTTTACCTCAATTGTACCTTTATAACAAGTAAACAACTATATTAAAGCATTCTGCGTAATGATAAGATGACTTACTTCCATATTCAACAGGGCAATATTTACAAATATAGCCCATAACAAACATGCTAATGTAATGAAACCGGATGCCACATAACGTAATCGACGTTTAGCTGCGGGATAGTGCAATTCCATCAAGCCAGTAACGCGACTTTGTCTCCAAGTGCCGTGAAAATTTGGTCTCTGATCAATAAAGTTAAACAGCCAAGTTAAGTCATTTGCTGCTAATTCAATTAAGGCATTGCCAGACCATCGATCGACACAAGAAATATACTCACGTTGCCACAGTTTAGTACAGATAACAGCCCATAATATCATGAAAATAGTATAAACTAAATGAATTCCTAGTGATACTTGCTTATCTTCAAAATATTGACCATTTAGTAAATTGAACACTTGACAAAATAAACCAGCGATTAACGGACAAGTTAAATAAACACAATAAGACTTCATCCAAACAAAATAAAATCCAATTGAATCACCAAAATACTGACGTAATTTCTCCGAATTCGGAAATACATTTAAAGTGGAGAAATGATCGGTCCATATAGATCGTCTTTCCATTTTGTCATGACTTCTAGTTAAATTAGATATTAGTCCTAAATACTCTAAGATGAATAGAGCTGGACGATTTGATAAAATATACTCATCAATATTATCAATCAGATTTAAGGACAAACCCAAATCACATACAAGACTTTTAATATGTGCCTTAGACAAAACTAAACTACGAATAGCGAGTTCGGCAAGCCAAGCTGTTTGCCCATCGGTTAACTTTTGAACACAATTATTGAGTTCTACAAGGTATACACAGAAAAAGACAAGAAGGAAAGTAACCAAAATGGTTTAATAATTAATTAAAAACTCTTTAAGAAGTTAGTAGTAGTCGTAAAAGCTTCGATGATAACAGGTATTTTTGTTTTGGTTATCTCCACAGGTGCACAAATTTATAAAACTATCTGGAAGCTAAGACCAAAATGTTATAGTTGACATACTGATACCTTCACATATGGATTTGGATTAAATTTCTCTTAACTCGAATGGTAAACGGGAATGGGCGAACTGGAAACTTGAAACTGTGCAAATAATTAGGACTTGGTTGTTTAAGGCAGTAAGCCTTTTCTGTGTAAATATTCGGTGACACTTTAGTTAGTTTTTAAAAATGAACCAGGAAAATCAACCCAAGGCTCCCACCCCAAGAAATGAGATCAGTTAATGAAATCATCAACTGCTAGTCTGAATTGTACTGGAAAGTGTTAACACCTTGATAGAAGTTTGGCTAATCTATGATTGGAGGCAATCTTTGAGTCCAATATTATTTCATACGTTCATGATTTCAATGATAGGTTTCACTCTTAAAATTCAATCATACCTTTAAAGTAAATTTTCTTTATTTAGTTTTCTAATATAGTTGGCAACATTGTTTCGACATTATTCATCTCCTCTTATTGAGTTGGTACTAAGCGTGGGAAATTCGGCTGATACAAATATGCACCAGGTTTTGTCTTGTTTATTAGTGACTGATTGGAATATTTTAGGCATATTTTACCACTCATAATAAACCCCTTTACAAATGAATTAGGGGTTTGATAAGTGATTTTTGAAACATCAAAGCTTTTGATAAACCTTACCTATGAAGACGGGTAGAATACCTCAATGACGTAACTAAAATCCGCAGAAATATTCAACTAATCGTCTACATCTAAACGTATTCACTCTTGAAGAGATAGTAAACAATTGTTCAACGAGTTACAGAATACGTATAAGAACTGAATAAAAAATTAAACAACTAGCAAACTGAGTAACCTTATTGATAATTCCTGAAAGTAATGGTTAACACATTAGCTGTATAATATGAACTTATAATCGTGAAACATTCACTTTTTGCTGGAACTCTACACTAAAATCCCACCTACGAAGTACAATCAGGCGCATATATACATCAGTTTAAGCTGCCACACCTCATTAGCACAACGAGATGAACATCAAATTCATATTAGTTATATCAATGGTAGTAATGTATACAAGAAAGATTGTGCATAAGGATACAATAAAGGAACAAAGAATTATTTCGTAGAAAGAAAGGTATAAAGCGATTTTAATCTCGCGGTTTAAGAGAAGACAAAGAGTGTATACACCGATGCCATTGTGGTCGATTCTAAGCCATTTCACCCAGAGTCTAACCACTGGTTATGATAGTCACGCGGAACCCAACCAAGTAGTCTCCATCTACCAACATGGCTAGAAGACTGATGCCACGTCTTGGTTTGGCCGCCTCTAACTTTCTTCCAACCATTTCCAAAACTAGTCAGCATTGAGCGCCGTGGTAAACGGTGGTCGGGCATACGTAACACGTGGCCCACCTATCTCAATCAATGAAGATTTACAACCTCATCAACTGATTTACCATCATTCCCTGATATCATGTGTCAAACCTCACGATTACTTACCCAGTGATCCAAGCAGATGTTGGCAATATTTCTAAAACATACTAACTTATGAGCATCTTCTACCCTTAATGAACACGTTTTGCAGCCGTAAAGTATAACAGAAAGAACTGCTGCACAGTATACTCGTCTTTTAATTGATAGACGAATATCTCGGCTTCGCCACAGGTGACGTAAGTTGGCGAAAGCCAAACGAGCTTTTTAAATCTGTGTAGAGATTTCTTCAAACACCAACCCATTGGAGCTGATCAGATTTTCAAAATAAGTGACTTTGTCGACGCCGTCAACTACGTCACTCCCTATCCTATTAAAATCTAAGCCATTGGAATAAAGAAATTGCTACATACTGTAGAAACCTACGAAAAATATCTTCTGTGGATTCACAGATGACTAATTAAAAACCTGGAAATTATCACTTAAGTGTGTCGATCATAGATTCAGAAGCCTCTATCAATACAAAATATAGCAAAAGATACTTGGTGAAGGGTGACAGAAGTTAGAAATATATATGGTAGCAACCCCAATTTCATTGATTGCTGATTTCAGTTTCATGGAACGAGCGATTAACTACCCGATTCAAACTGACACAGATAAATAAAATTGAAATTTGGAGTCATTAATTGTTGCTTCTGTAAATTAGCTACAATGATACGAATAATTTCTTTGTTCGCCCATGAGTTTGAGGTAGGTCATCATCACATATTCAATCAATCTAATCACAACAAGATTTGTGGAATAAAATAAATGGATTTAATTTCATTAATCATTTATCAACTATGTATCTGATGCCCCTTTTTACCAATATTTGTGTTCAAATAAATAAAGAAATTATCGGTTATACCTCAACTAAGATAAGTAATCTGAATATCAATAAATGTAGGTTTTTAGACGCCTACATAATACATTAAATGACATATTTAATATTTATAAAGGTCTATTTAACCCTTTTGTGTGGCTTAAAGCAGTATATTAGACAAAAATTGTCAAAACAGCTCTGAAGAAGTACAAAGTTTTAGAACATTTAACTATGGATTTATTCCTTTACTGAATGCCATTAAATGATAACTAACCTTGTTTATCGATTGATAAATCCGGTCTTAGTAATGATGCACATTGTTTAAGCCACAACTTTGGTATATATATCAGAACAAAGTGTGTAGAATGACCACAATTATTCAAATCAGTTGGTGTTTCATCAATTGTACAACAAGATGTAAATACTGGCTGGTCATCACACTCAATGTTAATCTGTCTGTCAGTAGGAACAAAAGTTGACATTAGACGGTTTTCCATAATGGACGTTTTAAGACATTCAGCTAGTCTATGAGCAACACGTACTTGATAGGTATTATCGGAATATTTTGGATGTTTTAACGACTTTGGGACTGCGAGACAGAACCTAACACCAGTAGTAGACATGGTTTAATTTTTGTTTGTCAGCAACAGCAAAATATTATCTGTTTCAATGAAAGTGAAATATTTTTCAATGCACTGGCCGGTAAACAATCGAAATAAATACTTAATACAAAGAACAAGAAAAAGGACAATACTTAAACTTAAGAAAAGCAACTGGGGTCAAAAACAAGATTTTCTAATTATCTAAAAGGATATGTAACTTCATGAATTGGAAAAATTAAATAGCTATCGTAACTATTATCTCTAAACAATCAACTACCTTATATTGGCATTATGAGGCTCTAATTGTGTGTAAATACTTACTCTAAATAGTTATTTCGAGTAACTCTATCTCTAAGAAATACAAATTTTAAGGCTAATTTTTTAATACCGAAAGTTTAGCATGATTGCACACTTCAGATAGATCATAACTAATATATGGGTTACTGAAAAACGTTACCCTACTAAGGTGTATGTTTATGTAAAGTCCACATATCACGATAAGCATGGGTTGATTGGAGTTTTTAAAGATAAAGTACGCATAATTTCAAACTACTTACAAATCAGAGGGATAAATGACAGCTGTATGATATATTTACACAATTATTGACAAATATAGAAATCTACCAAGTAAACTTAGTAATCACTGAAACTAAGGTTCTTGGAAAAACCTATGAACAACGTCTCAAACTAATTCTGTCAAATGAAAACTAAATATATTGCAAAATTATTTGAGAAAAACATGTTATTACACCGTCTAGCTTTAGCCTTCATTATCATTTCGTAATATTCAGGACCCCTAATATCAGTCAGTCAAATGCAAAGTATAACCTGGTAAGCATCCACATCGGTTCAAGTTTCCATACCCCATTAGCGCAGCGAAACGAAATTATTAGAGCTACTTTCGAAGTAGTAAATATGGTACAATATTAGTGTTAATATAAAAGAACATGATTCCTAACGCAGAACATTGCATTCGTCTCCCTAATATAATGAGCCTGGTACTTACAGCTACTGTTTTCGGTGATGATTCTTCAGAGATTACATGATAGATTACAGAAACAAACGTTTTAGAGATAAGTGGAGATGTAGTTCTAAATGTTGAGGAAGCCCCAAAGCAACAACGCTGTACTGAGACTTTAAATCAGATAACGCTTCGATGCATTTTATTGTCACCTTAAATGGTTAAGTCACTTTTGTTTTTGAAAGGAAAAAATTATCAAACATACTAAAACATCCACTATGCATCAGATGATCATACAACACAACCTGGGGAAAAGGTGGGAATATGCTTTAGATACATATGTTTTGACTGAGCCTGGCAATAAAAAACCCAAACAATGGTATATAAACGTTAATTTCCTGAAGTCATAACACAACTCTTAGGCATATAACACTGAGTACATACAAACACTGAAATCCAAGTTTTTAAGAAAGAATAAGAACTTAGGAAAAATATTTATTAGAAAAATTTACACATAATAAAGCATACAAATCACAAAATAAGTTGTGTACAAAGGGAGGAAATATACCTTGTTTTATGGACAATAATGTTTAGAAGTTAAGTGAACATAAAGCAGAAGTGGAGAACAAAATATCGTGCAAGCCCTTAAGCAACCATCATTTTGCAGCCTGGAATACGTGCACTGGAAGAAACTCGGGGAGAATCTATTCGTGCCAATAAATTGACGGTCTTTGGAACGAAAACACAAAATTTCAGGCACTCATTGTGTAGATTCTGTGCATCTCGTATCATACAGTTATGTAGTTTCTCAAGATATTCCTTATATCTTCCGACGCGGCACAGTCGACGTACGTTGAGCCATCTGGAGCTAGCCCCAGCTTTGCGCCCTGAAATTACACTTATTAAGCCAATAAGGAGTTACATTGTTGAGCAGCAAAGACACGCAATCTATATGACCCTCATATATGGCTGCAAGCAAAGGTGTAACTCCAAAACTGTCATTAACCTACAAACCTTGAATCAGTGAAAAAATAACTGGAGCATACATTTAAATCTGCACCATTTCGTATGAGGTAATCACATATTTCTTTCTGTCCATAGTCAGCAGCATAGTGAATTAGAGTTCTTCCATTTTTAAAAGTAGAATTAACCCCAGACAACTAAGTAATAATTAAATAACTGTAAACGCGTACATTATTCATGTTTTCTTTTATCGATTGCAAGTCACCATTTTTAACAGCCCAGAGCAACTGTTCATAATGCATATCGACACAACCAGCTGACTTCGAGGTCACAGGTTAACTGGCCGCTTAGTAGGGAGTAAAGAATTAGGCTAAACAAAATAAAACTGTAGTCGTTCAAATTAGTCGTCCATTTGAGCGTTTATGCTTATTCAAAAGAAAACAGTCTAATTCTTGGTCAAATATTACTTTGTTGGTAATTATTTTTGTAATTCAATTATTTGTCTTTAAAATAGAAGCTATTGCTGAATGAGATACACTTTCCGGTATAAATGAACAGCCAATTCATATAAAAGCATGACTCAACAGGCATAAAAGAGAAATATAAAACGGGAGGTTAGTGCTCTAGAACGTGTTTCCAAGCTGGGTCTTTGCAAAAACCTGTAGCGGTTCAAATGGTTCAAATGGTTGTAGATGGAATGAAAGGAAATTACGCCTAACGAGTTTCACGTTCCTCATAAATTGTGAACTGACGTTTTCGAACTTATTCTGTAGCTTTCTATTGCATATGCCTTGTAATTTCCGAATTCTTTTGGAATAAATTTGAAAATACTCCACTTTCATAATCTATATAATGTCGAATAAAACTATTAAAAATTAGCTGAAAAGCTTCTGGTTAAACTTGGCTAAGATAGGCCTCAAACTTTTATCGAAAGCCATCATTTTCACCATCAGTATGGAATTTTAAATTACATGGTAACAAGACATCAAGATTTTTCCTGATTAATAAAACTTCTAGAGTGGAATTATCTAGGCTGCATGTATAGTTCTCAGAATATCACAAGTAGACTTATTTGAGTCTTGAATAGTTTAGGTGGAATTCATTATTACTCACTCAAATTTGAAATCAAGTCATATCATACTCAAGTGCTAGCCTGTCATCCTGGTCGCGAACTTCCTTTCGAAAATCAACACCACCCGACTTTATCCCATATTTATACATTTAATCTCAAATCTGACTATAATCCTGAACTTATTTCAGTCAGCACTCAGAATGTGGCTACCATCAACTCATCCTGTTGTGGTTTGATAACATCGAAGTCACGTACTGTTGTGCAGAGATCGACTTTCACAAGTACAGTGCAATTAAACTATGTGTAGTGTTCCTTGTGGAAATAAATTAGCTACCATGAGAGTTGACTGAGTGCGCTACATCCGTGATGTTTACCAGAGATTTGTCAAAATCTGACGAAACCCTAGAAGAGCTAACCATAAACTAGGAGAACCAGTGGATCGACAAAAATCAAACAAAAATTTTCACAATATAATTCAGGACATGGTTTTGTAACTAAAATGCTCTTACGAATAGTAAAAGCCATGAGGAAATTTTATAGAGGCTTCTTCAGAAAAATCTCTTTGCTTGGGTTTTCACGACAAGTGAACTCCAACCTTGTTTCCTTGCAAAATAGCATGTCCGATACCCTAGCTTAGTCTTACAACCGAATTATGGTTATCACCGGGATTCACAGCGACCTGATTTGCCTCGTGAAGGAAATAATTCAGAGGACTCAAAATAAAATTACGGATCATCCGTATATTATATCTTAACCGTCAAACTGACCACACACGCGCCAGAACTCTCCAAAGATGTACACTACACAGAATATTTGCCCCACATATTTAGAGAACGAAGAACCCTAAATAATGGTGATACTAAGGCACTACAAGACGTCATCCCACACTGTTGAGAGCACCATTCCAAATCCCAGTGGCCCTATGATTATTTCGAAAAACTCATTCGTCAGTGAGCATTAGTCAATGGATACAGCAGTCTGCAATACGTGGTAGGGTAGTCCACTGATCAGTCTTTATTTTAGTGATATTGAAAGTGAATCTGAAGCTCTTGAAAGAACGTGGATCAAGATTCACATAATGTATGTTCACATTAGTCTCACATTCAACAATCAAAATTCTTCCACGTTAGTTAGCTATTTATTACTGTTAGTAGAACTACCAATACTCGTTGATACGAACGACTAAAACTGACTTGCTCCCACTGTAACTCCACGAATCCTAAAAGTAGTGCTTGCCACTGTATTACTGCTCATAATTTGTCTAACAGAAGAATTGCTTGTAGTACATACAAGCCAAGGAAGTCAGTCATTGTTGGGTATCCATGACTTGTTTTACCTGTACGTATATAAATATTTATTTTTCATGTTTCTATGACTTCAAACCAGAGAATACCACTCAATAGTGAAAGCATTTCGAACAAAATACTGCCCTCTAACTCATTTGAGCTGTGTGCTTCCGGAGCCGGAGTAACTTACTTAGACAATATATAACACTCTTTGAGAAGCAGCCCAATAGCTACATTCTTCAACATGGATCAGTTATTATTGATAACATTATGATTGATCTGTCATGGATGACTACAGTAACTTAGTTTCTGGTTGATTTTTAGAAATATACCCCACACTATAATACACAGAGCAGGCTCACTCCAAAAAAATGAGTCTACAGTGCTCGAATAATTTTACTTGCTGTACTTAGACTGTAGAATTCTGGAATATGATTTCCGGCATTTTAGGTGTACGAGCATTTCTTGTGCTCTCTGATCTGTGAAATAGTTTACAATACAGAAGGAAAAGATTTCTATGCGTAAAATCTATTGTTACCATTGCCAACCATTAAGGTTCGGTGCAGATACTTGGGTTATATAAAAGCATAAATAAGTTTGCCCAAATCGAAAAAATTGCGTACAGTAATTTGCGGATTAATTTTTCCAGCATAAACGAAGACAGTGACTACATATGCCTACGGTTCTCGTCTTCCATGTTGTTAACGTCCATATGCTTTTTTAGTACTAGTCAACCAACAACATTTCTATCCACAGTTACGAAACAAGGTAAAAAATA